TAGTTGGTTAATGTAGTTAATGAGGTGTTTTCATAAAGAAATTTGAGAACTGCTTACGTTCGTGATTATTACAGAGTTCTATTCATAAAATTCAGAACTTTCAGAATTTGAATATAGATGAGTCTCATGTGGTGTTTGTCTTCTAATCACGGATTTGCTTTTTCTGGCCCGTTATTGCCATCACATTTATAGATTGTTAGTTTAGTTTCATTGTTATTAACTTAAATTTCTGTGAGTCGTTTGATGAACTCTATATTTGCTCTGATATTATTTTAGCTTTGGTTTTCCAACAGCTGGATTACGACAAGTCTGGTGTTTTTCAGATAGGAAAGTTCATGCCTCTTGGCGCTAAACAGATACATGCAGCAGCTCTCAGCCACCCCCAACCCCGGGTTTGTTGAAACTGTTCATTCATGGGTGATGTGCTCTGTACAAGTTCCTAGTCTTAGACAACAAGATTCATAGGTAGCCCATGTTCTAGATCAACTTTGATAGTTTTTATTAATTTATATTTTAGCAAAATACATTTGCTATTCTTAACTTAGTGGTAGCTTTATCTTATGCAGAGGGCTTATTCAGGAATGTCATGCCTAGGTGTAATGTTGTCCATGATGGAAAAGATAATACTATTCTCAGGCTATTTTTCAGGAATATAATGCAGCAAGAGGCAAAACATACCTCTGTATAAACATAGTAGGCAGATCGTTCTTTTAATTGTTTATTCATCTGCATCAGCTGTCCATCATAGGTGTAACGTGTATTTGTTTTGGTTCTTTTCCCTTAAGGGAGCTCTCCTTTGGGCGTGGTTCTACAGCACCTGTAGGAGGCGGGACCTTCCCTACCATCTACATTAGAGAGCCCTGGGATGGCAGGGATGGGGAGGTAAGTGCTCAGGGCCCCAGGACTATGTGGGTAGGGACATTCCTGTTTTAACAATCCTAATTCCTGTGCATCTCTACACCTGGAAATCAAGTCCTTTCCAACAGACCTAAGCTTTGGTGCACCTAAAGCACCCTAATCCCGTGGGCCTTTCAAGAGGTTCTTTCTCTGAAGACCCTTCACTCCTGTCTTCTCTATTACATGAAAAAATGCTGCATGGCATTTGATACTCTTGACAGACATACAAGATAAATTTTAGTAGCGAGATTGCTTTCCTTATTATTATCCATGAAGTGAACATTTAACCTGGAGTTCATTACTGTGTCTTAGAGAAATGTAAAATTATAGCTTTGAAGTTAGCATTTATTTCTATACAGTTCTGTCCCACCCTCCTCAAAAGGACAAGCTAAATGGCTTTCAGTTTTAGGGAGACAGGTGATGTAATGTTAAACTATGTTTCAACTGAGTTCTCAGCTCTCACATCTGTATAATAACAGGTATAAAGGTAAAAGCAGGAGCTGGATTGCAGAGAAACTGGTTTGAAATCTGGAGTTCCTGTAGAAATTAATTTGCTCCTCTGTAAAATGAAACAATTGTCCTCTTTAAGGTGTTCCCCCATCTGCCGGTCTAACAGTGGTTTTCTGTCTCCCAGCTTCCCATGGAGGATGACATTGACCTCAGTGATGTGGAGCTTGATGACTTAGGGAAGGATGAGTTATGAGAGCCACAGCAGAGGCTTCAAGCCGTTTGCTTTTCTTGGGTGCAAGCGGATTTCTTCAGCAGTGAAGGAACGTTCTTTACAATCAGATGAATCTACCAGTGGCCTTTTTAACCAAGAAGTAGCACTTGATTGGTCATTTGAAAACACTGAAAACACTGCAACAGTGAACTATTGCATCTCAAGAAAACATTGAAAAATTCTATGAATTGTTGTAGCCAGTGAATTGTATTGTACTCTCACATCATATTTTGAAGAAAACTGAGCTGTTGAAATTCCCCTCCCTCTGACTGCTGCTTGAATGCTTTTGGAGGCTGTTTCTTATATATAGGTTTTTTAATGTGATTCCTTCATTTGAATACTAATGGTTTTTCCATTAAAGAATAAAACAGTATTTTGGAAAATGGTGATAAATGTATGAAATCAGTGTCCCTATCATAAATTCAGAGTGATATTTAGCTAGTAAATTAATTATTATGAAGTATGACCCTGATGTCTTTTCTCCCTATAAACTTTTTTAAGATGGAAAGCAAGACCTCTTTGATTCAAATGATGCCATCTGGATGCCCCTACAATACAGATCTTATATGGAAAACTGGGCTGTCAAGTGAGAGCTGTATTTCATGCCCAGTATTTTTCTTTGGGCCATCACCAGTGACTAATTATTAGGGAATATAGCTGGTAATACAGTTAGCTCAAGATTTTCTATGTTATTACTTATCTCAAAATATCCATTAAGACATGAAATAGAGCAGCAGGCTACCAATTTATAGGCACTTCACATTTATGTAAAACATTCAGAAAAACGAAGTTTGGAATTATGTTAGAACAAATATAAGAGAGACAATTCAAAGGACTGGGAGCATTTTATTGTAAGTTAAAAAAAATAAATACAACTCTTAACTAACTTTTGTGAGCTATTTCTCTGGAACTATAAATTCTGTAGGATGTTCCTCTGGCTTAGGGAAAGAAGTGTCTGTAGCAGCCTGCATGAGTATGGGACTCAGTGGAGCCAGCTGACCTCCCTAGTCAAGAAGACTAAGGTCGATGCGGAAATAGACATAAGGAAAGTAGTCCTGGTTGTTTAGCTGCAGTCCAGGGATCTCCACAGATGCCTATGAAAGAAGACAAGGTAGTGTTCTCAGTGCATAGTTTACTGTTTGGTCTTTGACTTATATTTTTAAGGAAGCTTTCCAGGAGTTAACATACATTCTGCCCTGCACAACCCCCCACCATCCACTCACAAACACCAGCCTGCAAACCCTTGTTATGCTTTAACATTTGTGACATGTAGATTTTCATAACAGGCTGGCAAGTACCATTTTTTTTTTAAATAGTATCTCCCATACAAGAATGCTGACCTTCCTGTAGAAATGCAGCTATTTCTGGATTATACTTGTATACCTACATCCAGTATACTTGCAGCTGCTACTTCATCCAGATGCCTGAAGACAGAGTTTAGAACCTCTCTTAAACGTTTGGTGGATGACTTCTTATGAGGTTGTAGGAGCACTGCCTGAAAGTTCACTGGTAGTCCATACCTATTCAAATAGGCAGAATGTGTCAATAAGCTACTCGAGATGCAAACATGGATAAAATGAACCTAATGAGAAATAGAATAAATTCTATTAAATGGTTATGGGACTTTAAGAGTGAAAGGCTTCAACCAACATAGCTTAAGAAAATAAAACAGGCAAAATGTCTGGGGTCCGAGTTGAGGACAATTACTAGGTCTCCCTGGATAGAAGCTCTAGAAGATGCTCATCCAGTTCCAGTGGTGACAGTTTTTGACTGGATTATAGAGGTCCTGCCCTTGCCATGAGTGATTGTTCAGTGGTTGCTGACGTTGAATTGTGGCAAGAGGACTGAATTCTGACTTCAAAGTACTTGTCTAAAACCCAGCTCAGCTGTTTTATTTTTCTCCAGGAAAGGATAGCAAAAAAAAAAAATCAGGTTTACCAAGATGATGTTTCTTTTGCTGAGTTTTTTGGTGGATGGAAAGATTTTTAAATGTGCCTAGTTGTATGTCTAAGTACATTTAAAACAACTTGCTGGGATGAGCCATTTCTGTGGTGTTACAGTGAGTACTGTAAGTAGTGAACGTGCATTTTGTGATTGTCAGTATTTTTAAGATACACAATTAAGTGAACAAATGCTCAACAGTTAACACCTGTATTTCTTTGTGCTCAAGCCACAGATGAGAATGCAGTCCCTGGGGTGCCCTTTTACTCACCTGGTACTCTGGTTTTTCCAGACTAGGGCCTGCCATGTAAATGAGTCATAGGGGCAAGATCTCTTAGTATTGCTAAGGTTTTATTTCCCAGTCAAGGTCCATAAGTTATCCCCCAGCTCCCAAATCTTACTAATCCTCTTTGGTGCAAAGTATTCACTGAAACACTGAGATCTCCCTTTAGATCTGCAGAAGGCTGAAGGAAACCTAAATATGTGAACGGGCTGTTTGTTACTGCGGGTTCTTGTGCTTCCACTGACCAGCACACACAGAGGCTGCAGGTGTTGACAGGCATGTGGGTAGAGGAACCACCTCACTTCTTTTGTTCTTGTCTCTCATCATCAAAGCTCTGGTGTCACTCAGGGGGAAATGAGCACAGTGGAGAGCCCGGGTTACCTTAGACCTGAATGACGGGTGACCGTGGTGTCGCCTTCCCTCCTGAACTCCTTCCTAACCTAGCGCCTAGTGCTGCCAACAGGCTCCACACCCTCCACTTCGTCAGAACAGCTCTACTGCCTCAATACAGTGCAATTCTTAG